TATTGATTGGTAGGCATTTTTTTATATCTTCATATGGGTTGTTCCTTTTTTCTCTTTTTAGTTGCTCTTATTTTGGAATATATTCCCTATTCCGTTCTTCTTTTATCTTTATCAAAAAAAATTTGTTCGCAGCTAATGCTTCTGATACAAACGGGTCTAAAATTTTGGCTAGGCACTCAGATCCTTTCAATGCAGCGGTTATTTTTAATTTCTTTTTCTTTTAAGTCCATGATTGTTGATAGGTTAAAATGGACAACAAATGGATAGATAACTATTCTAATTTAACTATATGTTCATTCTTTAACTTTTGTATTATTATGCGATGGATGCATATTTTTGATGAGAGAAAGTATTTGAGTTATTTTTGCCCTTCGGACTACTTTGAAAAAAGTATGCGTAGTGATAGAAGACTCAAAACGAACTAAAGCTTTCTTTTCTTTATTTTCGCGAGAGGAGAATAGTTTTGTTTTTATGTTGCGACAACGTTCTTTATATATTTTTTTCTCTACGATCCTATCTGTCCTTTCATTCTCCAAGCGGATTTGATTTGGTATGTGGCCTCATCTATGCTACAACTGCGTGCATGGGAGCCACACCAGGCTCCGGCGGGTATGAGGAAATCAAGATGTGAGATGGAGAACTGAATCGAACAGTGAAAATAGATTAGTTGCTTGTTTGCAATTCTTTTTTTATAGATTTATCTTTAATGTAATAAAGCATAAAATAGTTTTTTCCGCCTGAATAACGTGTGTTTGTATAATTAAGCACTTACACACACGCATTGCCAAAGTAACCATTCACTAACTGGACACTTTTTCTAATGTTGGTATTATAGCCTTTTCTCCTTTCTGATAGTTGTGTATTAAAAGGCCTGGACACATTGAAACTGAATGTGAATCCAATAGAGAAGAACGACAAATTTTTTTTTTTTTGAAAAAGCCCTTAGGTACTAGCTGAGATAGATCTTTTTGTGTCATGAGAAATAATTCGACCATACCAAATCTTTCTTTGGTTTTTTTTCATGCTCAGAAATAGAGGAAGGGTCTTATTTCATGAGGGTGTAGCTTTTTTTTAGACGTAGTCAGTTGGAGATTACTTATATTTGTTGATAGCTTTTTTTCCGTTCTAAGGAGATTATATTTCGTCTTCATTTATATCCGAAGGGCTGAGATCAAACAGCAGTAGATGAATAGTGGAAGCTCATTTAACCTCAATAAAAAAAGTAGTTCATATATCAATGGGAGACCACGTTTTTTTTTTTGCATCTTTTTTAACGTGTACGTCTTTTTGGCCTCTTGCTTTACTTAACTTGCTTAATTATTCCTGACCTCAATTGTGTGGGTCTTCTTGATAATTTGGTCTTATTAAATGCCAGCCATTTTCAACGAAAAAAATGTCGGAATATGCTAGCGTACTCTCTAAACGTAATACTACACGGCACTATATCACTTTTTATTGTTCTAAATATTTCAGGCTATATTTTTATCTTCATAGTGAGGTGTATGTATCCTATCTGGATTCACAAAGGAGGTTAGGGATGTGTTTTGATCAAAGTTAGTATCAAAAGCATGTAGATGTAAATGGAGTCTGCATTTTGTTTTCTTTAGCATATGAAATACATGGAACTTTGAGTATTCGCCTTTGTATTAAAGTGATAATGCTTTCATCTTCAATGTTTGATATACGGTGTATTGTGGTATCAAATCAAGGCAAACTTATGCACACGAAATTGCTTGGTTTATAATGCGTACTTCTACACTCTACGCCACTTTATTATCGGTTTAGGATTACACGTATACAATTCCGTTGAACTGTGTCATATCACATTTTTTAGGGATGCAGGAGGCCGAAACTTTTGATGAAACCTTAGATATCGGAGAGGACGAGGCCCCTTATCTCGTGCCACGTCTTTCCGCTTACTCCCCTCCTGAGGCGATGGAGGAAAGGGAAATTGGGATGGATAGCAGCGTCCATGATACCGAGAACGACAGCGATTCAGACGAAAGTAAACTAGGCACCACATCGCAGGACGAACGGCTGGCGGAGGCAGATGAAATAATCTCAGAGAATTCGAATGAAAAGGAATATACCAATCTTCATGAAGCACGCGAAACGACAGCGGAGGTTTCGATGCCGATCGGTGGTGATGAGTGTTTAAAATCTGCTGAACAGATGCCTGTTGATGAAACCCTTTCCATGAACTGTGAAAGGGTTGAGGAGGCGACGTATGATGTGGATGATGGTTCGTCTGCGTTTGACACGAACGACGCTCCCTCCCAGTGCCCCACCGGCGGCGAGCGGCCGCGAGCCGACGAAAACGACGACGGTAGTCCGGATGTTTCGTTTTCTGCAAGGGCCACCGCCGCGGCGCGGGTGGACTGGACGGCGCTTTTCCCACTAAATAGGGTGCGCGAGATCCTGCGGTGTGAGGGCGGCAGCTCCATCATATCAAGGGAGGCTGCAAACGCCGCCGGCGAGGCGGCGGCGCTGTTGCTTCGGGATATGGCCAAAGCCGCCGCCGGTGAGGCGGTCCGTAGCGGGCGCAAGACGATCACTTACGATGACGTTTCCCGCCTCGCTCAGCTTTTTGATCGGTTTTCCTTCCTTCTGGATGTCATCCCACCCGCCACGACGGCGAATCTTAACCCCGTGAACTCATCCCACGCGGACCGAAAGCACCGTGTATCCAAGCGGAAGAGCATGATGAAACCCGGGATGCCTGTCAAAGTGTCTGAGGCGTTGCCAGAGCGAAGCGTGAATATTCAGAAAGATGGGACCCTACTAGGGTGCACAAAGTTAGGCGAGGGGAGTTTTAAGACCGCCACACTGCATGCAAGCCACGCATCTGTCGGGATAGGGTCACTGGATCATAAAAAGCAACGGTTTTAAAGCAACACCTCGACCGAAAACCGTGATGATGATGCTGATGGAAGGAGGGTAGGGGTCTAAGTGAGTGAAGTATCACTATATTTGCGTTGTGGAGTAGGAAAGGGTTTATATACTGTTTTTTCGGCTGCTTATGTTCCTTTCCCTATGGTGAATTACAAGAAAACAAGCATAAGAGCAAAACTGTAGTGTTTTATCGAAACCATTTCAATAGCCAACCAATGCTTGAAATGTTGTATATTTTATCCATTTGGTTGTATTGCCGATACGTTTCTAAAAGCTTTTTCTTCTTGTGTTCTTTTTCATCACATGAATACAACATTAGTCGACTTGGATTGAATTAAGTGTCTAGTTGTACTTTTCGCTCAACATTAAAACTCTTAGTAATTATTATTGTTACTACTACTGTTTTTTACATAGCTCACATAACTCCAATTCTAACGAGTCATGTCTGTTCAAAGCACACCCAGCCAGGACCGCCATCGGGTGGAGGATATGTCTATCGAGGAACTACGCAAAGAGTATGTAGCCCTCAAAACAATCCAATTTTCTCAACACTGTGAGGAGGAAATGCTGAATAAGAGAATAGAAATGTTACGTGAGGAGTCGGTTCGGCTCCAACAAAGTACCGAAATTGAAGAGGAACACGTAGCTAATCAGTTGCTTAGACGCTTAAATAGTGCCGAACGCGATGTTAAAAAATACGAGCAGCTTATCCACGAGGAGGAGGAAACGATCGAAGAGTTGTCCAGACAGATTTCCGTGATCCATGACCAGCAGAGAGAGGTGGAGAGCCAATTGGGAAAACATCAAGAGGAACATATCATGCTGCAAGGGAAGTTGTTGAATCGAGAATTAAAACGAAGCGAGCTAGGGCGCGAGCTGCTCGATGAATGGCAGCGCTACTTGGGCGTCTTGGTCCACCATCTCGCCGTCGTGCGGAACAGGGAGGAGAAGGAGAAGGAAAGGGAGGGTGGCGGCATCTGTCTCGCTTCCCCTGCGATGCCGGCGGTCCCAGACGAGGCGTCCTCCTTTCCAGAGAGCGCGGGGGCGCCAGGCCCAGCCTCATCTGTTCCAGTTTCATCTGTTCCAGTTTCATCTGTCCCAGTTTCATCTGTCCCAGACTCGTCAGATCCCATCCTGTCAAGCCCCCTCCTTACAAGCTGCAACTCCCCCGCCCACCCCGTCGTAGCCCGCCTGGAGCGGCGGCTGCGGCGGCTGCTGGCGGAGCACGCTCAGGTCAGGCGCGGTGCCGACGCGATGCGGCAGCAGTACACCGCCCTATCTGAACGTCTCAAGAGGGTCCAGGACACGGCCTTCCTCGAGATCGCGCAGGCCGCGAAGTACCGCGAGAGCCTGCACGACGCCCAGGCGAAGCTGCTGGGCTTCAACCCGCGGAAGGGGGTGAGTTGAGGCACATTCCTCTCTCCTCTCCTCCTCTTATCAGCGGCGGGGCTCGTGGAAGTTGGGTTGGCTTTTTTTTTTGTTGGCATATGAGGATACTGTAGTGTGTACAGCTTGGATTTTGCGTTCTGTGATGTGGGTAAGACGTGGGTGCACCCCCTTTTTCCTCCCTTCTTCTTTTCCTGGCGGTGTTGCCATTGCCTTCTACGGCACATGTCGGGAAGTAATCTGTACTTTCCTTGTGTCACATCTCTCTAAAAAAAAATGCTTGAGTTTCATCATGCATGAAAATTGGCCTTCTCTACATAAGAGAGCAAATTAATATATGCATATTGTATATGTATATCAGTATACTGATGAACCATCTATACGCTTGCAACCTTTTTTTGCATTCATTAATTATTTTTTCATTGCTGCATAGATTTAGACAATTCGATTTTCCAAACCTTTTTATGGTTAATGAACTTGCCTGTTGGTTGGTAATTTTATGTGGGCCTGCTTATATTTAGCTAAGCTGGCTGTTTAGACAAGCATATACACATATATACACGTGTATACATACACAGAATGCAGGGGTTTATCGGAGCAGAGGGTCAAAGGGTTGGGGAGCAGATAAAAAATAAAAATGAAACATTCATTAATTTAGGAAATCTTCACTTGCAATGAAAAAATTCCGTAGTATATTGTGGATTTTTTTTTTTTGTCATTGAATTGCATTTTTAGGGGAACACACGGTATGTCATAAATGGTATATTCCACCTAAATGCTTATACTAGATTTTATTTTTATCATATTAATTCCCTTAGCTAGTCTTAATTTGACAGTTTATCCCACTGCATAGTAAATATTATTGCTATTACTTATCATTTTAATATTTTGAAATTAAATATTGAACTCAAAAATTCGAAGTCAGAGGAATAATTAACTTTAAGAGGTTTTCGTGTTAATGTGCGTTATTTTTCATTATTTTACTCACTTTCACTTTATTCTCATCACAATGCCAGATTGCTAACGTATTAAGATGTACCATGTATAAAAAAGTTTGTTATTTTTTCTCCGTTCTGGAGAATTGTTACCGTTTATGCAGCTGCAGCTTCCAGGTTGTATAAGATTGTGCCGACGCTACTTTACCTCTTCCTCTTGCTATTTGATTCGTTCATTTTTGTAGGTCTCAATATTTGACTTTTTTTTGACGCTTACTTGCGCAATTATTTCTGCTAAGTCTTTGCGTACGGTGATCACATACAAACAGTTCTAGCTCATGTATTTGAAGATGCATAGAGCGCCTCTGTTTCCCACTGTGAGTACCGGAGACCTTATGGAATGTATCAGTAATGAGGCTTCTACACGCGTTTCCTCAGATGAATGCGATTATTTCAAAAGAGGATGTAATAACGCGCTCAACATTCGCCTTTGCTTCATACCGCCTTCTTTGCTTTCGGCTGACGATATCGCTCCTCGCTGTGGGGAGGACGGGACTTCGGATAACGATGGTGCTTTTCGGGAGGTTCTCATTCCCATAAAGCCGGTGGAACTCGTTTCCACTTCCGTTTCTGGCCTCATAAATAAATTTATGCGGTGCTTGTGCAAGCGCTACGGCTCGAGGGTCAGACAATCGGGGCTCACGGTGCGAGCGCTGTGGATCTGCTGCATCGCGCCGCGCTCCACTTCGCCCAAGGCTTTTGACGGGGTGACAGCGTGGCAGCGTGGCTTTCGATCTTCTCCGCTGCATTCACACCTTGCGGGGTTGGTGAATCATCGCAAAATGATTAGAATTGATGCCTTGATGAATGGCGACAACACGTTAGACTCTTTCTTTCCTATCCCCCGCCGTCACCCCGCTTACGCGCGGAGATCCCCTGTTGTTTGTGTTTACGACGCTTTCATTGAGTGGGAGGAGGCTCTTCTCCCTGAGGAGCGAGAGGAGTTTAGGGGTGGGGAGCCGTTGATCTCCTCCAGAGGTGGCGATTTACCCTATATTAAGGCGGAGGATAAGCACCAGCCTTTATGCGCGGCTCACCTTGAGGGTGAGGTCTGCCCGCCGCCTCCCGGGTTGACTGTTCCCTTAGAAGCCGTTCTGGATCCTATTCCCTTGAACCCGGTGCGCTCTGTCTATACGGATTCAGGTCCGTTGTTAACACCGTACCCCACAGCGGATTCCGTCGGGAGAATGGAAGGCTCTGAGGAGAAGGGCGACAGGGGTGTTCCTGCGTGCGCGAATTCGGATTCCATGCATCTCAACTCCGAGAACCTATGGGAGCTGTTAAGTTCGAGCCCGAAAGAGAGCATGAGGGACGTCAAGGCTTTCTCTCGTCACCGTGATGCGTGGCAAAAGCTTTGGGAAGAGGAGACTTCTGTGCGCAATAATTTGCTATACCAGGAGTCATCGGCGTACCGTCTCATTCGTGATTTAGCCAGCGATTCTATGTGGAGTATTGTATCTCTATCTTCCCTTCGGGGCGAGTTCATTCATGATGACAGGCTGGTAGCCTTGTTGCGTCATTGTAGGCGTTATCCATCTGATACGCTCCCCCTTGCCAACCGGACTAACTCTGCAGATATGCAAAGACTTCACGCTGAGGCAGAAAGAACAACAAAAATGGCATTTTTGTTTGCCAGTAGCAGTATTAGTAAACCGAAGCCGAGTATGACTTCTGAAGTGGAAAATGAGAAGGCCGAGAGGGTCGATGATCCTCGCATATTTCATTATCGGCAGCTCTGTGGAGCCATCCGACGGAAGGGTGCTGCCGGCGTTACAGTGCAGCGGGGGAGATCGACGCCGTTTGAGGCACCACCGATACGTACTTGCTTTCCTCAAAAAAAGCTCTTCATGGAGCGATCCCCCGATTCTGTCTGCATGGAAGACCTCCCTGAGGGGGTTTACGAGGAGACCTTGGCGAGCTACACCGCGGTCCGCCATGATATCATTTCCACAGAGCGCAGGGCGTACCGAAATTTAATGCAAATGATCCGTGAAGTGCTACGGAAACAGGTACAATTGGATGAGTTGGCGCTGAAGCGTGCGTATGCGGAGGAGATGGCGGCTTCAGATGCTTTTGACATCAATCATTACGTGTCATTTTACGATGATTCTTGAACCTTGCGTTTATCAGCGACCATGAGCGGTTTTATGAACTGTAGATTTTTCATTACAAATATTACCTATATATATATATATATACAGGTATGGATGACAACGCCAAGGGTGCCGACGCTTTATATCCTTCATATTATTTTTGTATCGCAGTATTGCCCATTATCATCTCTCCACTGGCCGATATTTTGTATTTGAATGTACTTTATCCTCTAAAAAACATAGGTGTAAATAACTGGTGGCAGCGGTATCGTTGGGTACCCTATCCCATCGCGATGCCCCTTTGAAGGTTGTATTTTTGTTGATAGCATGTCACTTCATTTCTTTTTTATCATGACTAGAAAGTTTCTGCTTCTTTGTACGAATTTTTTTCAAGAGCGTTTGTGTATGTTTATGTGGACAAGAATCCGGAGACAAACTTATTCTCAAGGGGGTAGAACTGTGAAAAGATTTGGAAAACCAAAGAAGACTACCGCGTTGTTTAGTGATTCAGGTACATCATATCAACAAAAGTCGTTTCTGTTCTTTAAATAGCATCGTTTTGCTCCATTGTTGTAAAGGGTTGTATTCTAAAAGTCTATCGCAGTTCTATTTCACTGAAGCAGGACCTTTTTTTTTACTGGTTCTGAACCTCTTTTTCTCTTCTCCCCTATTTTGTCCGTCGACTAAATGCCGCGTCTCGGTTGTCGTTGCTGCTACCACAATTATACCGTTGCGGGGACCACTTTTTTGTTTTCGCTCTTGCGTGCGCTCCCCTTAACTCGCTGCACATGGCGCCTACCGCCAGTTGAGAAAAAAAGAGCATCGCTGGGTATAGTCCCGATGCGGCGGTCCTCTTCTCGACCGCCGTTTTCTGTTGTTTTTCCTATGCTGACGCCCTCTCGCTTGTACTCTACGACTTCCTTTCATCGCGATAAGAAGCCAAGTTCGAAAACTATACATCCTCTTTTCAGTAATTCTTCTTCTACGACACACACAAACCAATCTTCCAACCACTCACATCTGTGTCTCATGTCCGGGGTCCCCTTTGACGCCGAGGCGGCGGTGCAGAAGCTGAAGTCCCTCGTCGGCTTGGATGACAAAAACGCGAACGACCTCTCCACCAAACCCGACCGCGTCGCGGACCTCCTCGCCTTTTTCGAGAAGCACCGCGTCACCGCGGACTCCCTCCGCGAGCTCAAGGTGATGCTCTTCAGCGTCTGGACGAAGGTCAAAAGCGAGGGTCATCGCGACCTCCTCGCGGGCTACATCACGAGTGGGAAGCTCACCATCACGCAGAAGGTGGACGCGGCGATCCGCTACGTCAACGGGCTCGCCGACGCCCTCGCGGAGGTCGACCTTAAGGCCCTCGAGGCGGAG